CTCTAGTAAAAATACAAAAAAATTAGCCGGTCGTGGTGGCACCGTCCCACTACTCGGCTGGCAGGAATCCTTAACCCGGAGCATGACCACATGGCCTCACCTGGCGACAGAGCAAAAAAAAAAAAAAAAAAAAAAAAAAAAAAAAAAAAAAAAAAACGGGTGAGGTAAAAGATGAGCTGAAGCAGGAGAATCACTTGAACCCAGGAGGCAGAGGTTGCAGTGAGCCAACATCATCATGCCTTTGCACTCCAGCCGGGGGGACAGTGCAAGACAACACCTCAAAAAAAAAAAAAAAGGTGGCAAAGCAATAGGGTCGCGGTGGCGGTTTGCTTTTCCCCCATTCGTGGTCCCCCCAGCCCTGCCTGCCTCTGACGGTGCAATCTTGGAGCGAACGGAGCTGGGTTCCATCGGCTGCTCCATGCTGCCACCTGCTGGCGGGCGCCGGTGCACGCTCTTCCGGCAGGGCCCACCTGTTGCCATGGCAACAAGAGGGTTTGCCTGAAGAAGTGGGCTGTCCAGTTCTCACCTATATCTACAAACACCAATTCCAGCCCAGGCGGGCTGCACGCACGAGCCTGCTGCACTTTAGGGGTGGCCACAGCGCTTACAATGTTTTTTTAGAGGGTGAGGAACCTATATACACACACAGAGGGAGGCTCACTTGACTTCCAGTGGGGTGACCTCCCCACGAGTCCATCGTGGTTCCACATCCCCTAACTCAAAAATGCACTGAGTATCTTGATGCACGGACCGTAAAGCTGAAAAGTTGCGAAATCAACCATCGTAAGCTGGAAACCATCGGTATATATTCACGTCTACACACACTTTTTAAAAATTCATTTATTTTGAGACGGAGTCTCGCTCTGTGCCCCAGGCTGGAGGGCAGTGGCACGACCTCGGCTCACTGCAACCTCCGCCTCCCGAGTTCAAGCGATTCTCCTGCCTCAGCCTCCTGAGCAGCTGGGACTACAGGCGCCCCCCACCACGCCCGGCTAATTTTTTGTATTTTTAGTAGAGGTGGGGTTTCACCTTGTTAGCCAGGATGGTCTCGATCTCCTGACCTTGTGATCCGCCCACCTCGGCCTCCCATAGTGCTGGGATTGCAGACATGAGCCACCGCGCCCAGCCTACACACGCTTTCATTATTAAAATATTGCAGGCTTGGTGCGATGGCTCACGCCTGTAATCCCAGCACTATGGGATGCCGAGATGGGTGGATCACAAGGTCAGGAGGTCCAGACCAGCGTGGCCAAGATGGTGAAACCCTGTCTCTACTAAAAATACAAAAATTAGCTGAGTGTGGTGGCATGTACCTGTAATCCCAGCTACTCAGCAGGCAGAGGCAGAAGAATTACTTGAACCCAGGAGGCAGAGGTTGCAGTGAGCTGAGATCATACCACTGCACTACAGCCTGGGCAACAGAGTGAGTCTCCATCTCAAAAAAAAAAAAATTGCAGTTTAATATAGAATAAACAAGTGTATAAAGACAGAGAAAACAATGGTTACCACCCAAATGCCCATCAAGGATAGATTGGAGTAAGAAAATGTGGTAGATATACACCATGGATTACTATGCAGCCATAAAAAGGAACGAGACCATGTCCTTTGCTGGGACGTGGATGGAGCTGGAAACCATTATCCTCAGCAAACTCACACAGGAACAGAAAACCAAACACCGCATGTTCTCACTCATGAGTGGGAGTTGAACAATGAGAACACATGGACACAGGGAGGGGAACAACACACACTGGGGCCTTTTGCAGGCACAGAGGGCAGGAGAGCATCAGAAAAAAAAGAGCTAATGCATGCTGGACTTAATACCTAGGTGATGGATTCATCCAGGCAGCAAGCACTATGGCATACCTTTACCCAGGTAACAAACGTGCACATCCTACACGTGCCCCCCACAACTTGAAATTGAAATTAAAATGAGAAAAATAATCATTGGACTAGACTTACAAAATGATTTTGGGGAGAAAAAAAGAGAAAGAAAGAACACTAGCTACCCATGGTTGGGGGTAGGTGAAATGGGGAGTTATTCCTTAAGGGCTGTGAGTTTCTGTCTGGGGTGATGAAGAAAAGTTGAGACAGCTGTAGAACATTATGAATGTATTTCAACGCTGCCATAAAAAAGGATGAGTTCATGTCCTTTGCAGGGACGTGGATGAAGCTGGAAACCATCATCCTCAGCAAACTGACACAGGAACAGAAAACCAAACACCGCATGTTCTCACTCATAAGTGGGAGTTTAACAATGAGAACACATGGACACAGGGAGGGGAACATCACACACCAGGGCCTGTCAGAGGGTAGGGGGCTGGGGGAGGGAGAGCATTAGGAGAAATACCTAATGCATGTGGGGCTTAAAACCTAGATGACAGGTTGACAGGTGCAGCAAACCACCATGGCACATGTAAACCTATGTAACAAACCTGTACATTCTGCAAATGTATCCCAGGACTTAAAGTAAAATCAATAAAATAAAATAAAAAACATTATGAATGTATTTAATGCCACGGAACTGTATGCTTAAAAATGGTCAAAATGGCAAATGGTATATTATGTCTACATTACCACCATAAACATATAAGAATTGATTGCAATTTCTTCCTTAAGGCTAGAACAAAACAAATCCAATCGTTAGAAATCAAAGGCAAAAACAACCTGCCCTAATTGCTAATGTAACATGAGAGTGTAAAGGAAAAAAATGCTGGCTCGTTGAAGTGGTATAATATGCCAGTATGGACACCTTTGTCCTGCCTCTCACTGTGATACTCGGTGTCAGAAAAGAATTCAAGCCCAACCAACCAAAGAAAAACTTTACACTTGGGAGTCTTTGGAAGGATAAAAAAAAAATCCCGAAAAGATGCATCGACACAACTTTACTGCAAGGCCGGACACGGTGGATCACACCTGTAATCCCAGCACTTTGGGAGGCCGAGGCAGGCAGATCACGAGGTCAGGAGATCGAGACCAGCCTGGCCAATATGGTGAAGTCTCCTTCTCTATTAAACATAATAAAATTAGCTGGGCATGCTGGCGCGCGCCTGTCATCCCAGCTACTTGGGAGACTGAGGCAGGAGAATCATTTGAACCTGGAAGGCAGAGGATACAGTGAACCAAGATAGCGTCACTGCACTCCAGCCTGGATGACAGAGTAAGACTCTGTCTCAAAAACAAAACAAAACAAAACGACTACAACAAAAACTTGACTGTAATAGAAGGAAACATACGAGCCTCCTGTAGGTGTTATCACTCATAAGTTTCACTTCACAAATGGCCATTTTGAGGGAGCCCCAAAGACAGCAATTATTCTTAAATTATAGAGTTGATCAACCAAAGGTCAATCATAGTAGTGTCAGCAATGCTGAAAAAATGGTGGCGTTTTTTGTTTTGTATTGTTTTGTTTTGTTTCTGAGATGGAGTTTCACTCTTGTTGCCCAGGCTGGAGTGCAATGGCACGATCTCGGCTCACCGCAACCTCCACCTCCCGGGTTCAAGTGATTCTCCTGCCTCAGCCTCCCAAGTAGCTGGAATTACAGGCGTACCCCACCACACCCGACTACTTTTTTGTATTTTTAGTAGAGACGGGGTTTCTCCATGTTGGTCAGGCTGGTCTCAAACTGCTAACCTCAGGTGATCCACCTACCTCGGCCTCCCAAAGTGCTGGGATTACAGGCGTGAACCACCATGCCTGGCCGTCTCTTTTTTTTTTTATAAGTACATCAGTCATATTGGATTTTGAGCTCACCCTAATGATCTCATCTTAACTTGATTTCATCAGCAAAGATCTTACTTCTTTTTTTTTTTTTTTTTTTTTTTTTGAGACAGAGCTTCACTCTTGTTGCCCAGGCTGGAGTGCAGTGGCACAATCTCAGCTCACCAGAACCTCTGCCTCCCAGGTTCAAGCGATTCTCCTGCCTCAGCCTCCCTAGTAGCTGGGATTACAGGCATGTGCCACCATGCCCAGCTAATTTTGTATTTTTAGTAGAGACACGGTTTCTCCATGTTGATCAGGCTGGTCTCAAACTCCCAACCTCAGGTGATCTGCCCTCCTGGGCCTCCCAAAGTGCTGGGATGACAGGCATGACCCACCGTGCCCGGCCGATCTTACTTCTCAATAAGATCCCATTCACAGGTTCCAGGAGCCACAGCCTGGACAGATCTTTTGGGGGACAGAATTCAACCCACGACAACTTGCTTTGACAATTATTCCATTTGTTTTGTTTTCTCATCTTTTTAGTTGGAAGAAAAAAAAAAAGTGTTTAGACTGAGAGTAAAGAAAGTACCAAAATCATCTAAAACGTACACTAGAGGAAAACAAGAAGTAGAAAACCTTGTTGACATCACGGAAGAGGCCCAGGGAGAGATGGGTACGAGATTGGTAGGAGGGAAATCTTTTCCTCCTCAGTAACATCTTCTGCTGATTTCTCTGTATCCACAGATGGGGCGTGATCTAATCTGACGGCAAATGCCTGTGTTCTCATGGCGGCTGCATGGAAAGATTTGAGTACAGATCCATATAGGAGAGACAGACAGGACTGTCTGAGGCAGAAAGAGAGACAGAAAGCTTGTTTCACGGTTGAACACTTCTCACTGTTGAAATGGCATCACTAATACATCACAGAGCTGTGCAAGGCAGCCTGAAAGGAGAACCTCATATTTCATAGACACCCATTGTTGCTACATCCATCACTGGTGCCAAAGTTCTGTTCAGGATGAAGCTTCTAACAGACACCTCTCAAGGTGAACACTGCAGCCCCACCTTAAAGCATGAAGAGGACCCAAACATTGCCTACGGTCAATGTCAAAGCTGAGCTCTCCCACCCCCATCAGTGTGGTCCTCAGTAAAGCCCGGGAAACAATCTACAAAGTAGAGGCAGTCCAACCCTGTCCATAGAAACCTCCAGTCACTTATCGTGTGAACACCAAGAACAAGAAGCCACTGGAGATACATCTCTTTATTATTATGTCTTGTGTGCTTTGACAGTAGTTCCAGATCACAAGAAAAAGTTATTTCCTGACTAAAATGGCATCATAAATGGCTCCTGTTTTCTTAAACTGGAAGTCTCTGAAGCCAGCAGAGGAGAGGAGCATGTGGTAGTGGGTGGGGGTCCTCTCCTGCCCTTCTGTCTGCACAAGCATGTTCAGAGAGTAGAGCTGCGTGAGCAGAGGGCCCCGCCTGTCTTCATCCAGGAGGCTTTCAATTACCAGAATGCCACCACCTAGAAAGGGAGGGGCACAGTCCACATCACACACACAGACTGTGCCAAAGTCCCAGTGAACCATAAGGACAACCAGACTTCAGAGGACAGTCAGGGCACTGTCTCCATCACACACTCAGAGGCTGTGCCCACGTCTTTATGGAATATCACAGAATAGACGGACCTCACAGAACAGACAGCAGGGACACTGTCCCCTTCACACACACACAGAGGCTGTGCCCACATCCTCATGAACCACCAGGATGAGTGGACCTCACAGGAGAACTGGGACACTGTCTCCAACACAGACACAGAGGCTGTACCCACATCCTCATGAACCATCAGGATGAGTGGAGCTCACAGGAGAACTGGGACACTGTCCCCAACACACACACAGAGGCTGTACCCATGTCCTCATGAACCATCAGGATGAGTGGACCTCACAGGAGAACTGGGACACTGTCCCCAACACACACACAGAGGCTGTACCCACGTCCTCATGAACCATCAGGATGAGTGGACCTCACAGGAGATCTGGGACACTGTCCCCATCTCACACACAGAGGCTGTGCCCACATCCTCATGAACCATCAGGATAAGTGGACCTCACATGAGAGCTGGAACACTGTCCCCATCTCACACACACAGGCTGTGCCCATGTCCTCATGAACCATCAGGATGAGTGGACCTCACAGGATAGCTAGGACACTGTCCCCATCTCACACACAGAGGGTGTGCCCACGTCCTCATAGACCATCAGGATGAGTGGACCTCACAGGAGAGCTAGGACTCTGTCTCCTTCACACACACACAGAGGCTGTGCCCACATCCTCATGAATCATCAGGATGAGTGGACCTCACAGGAGAGCTGGGACACTGTCCCCATCTCACACACAGAGGCTGTGCCCACATCCTCATGAACCATCAGGATGATTGGAGCTCACAGGAGAGCTGGGACACTGTCTCCTTCACACACACACACAGAGGCTGTGTCCACGTCCTCATGGACCATCAGGATGGGTGGACCTCACAGGAGAACTGGGACACTGTCCCCTTCACACACACAGAGGCTGTGCCCACATCTTCATGGACCATCAGGATAGGTGGACCTCAGAAGTCAGTGAGGCACTGTCCTCATGACACACACAAATACTAGCCTAATTCTGAAACAGTTTCACCAAAGTGAGGCCAATGAAGTTTCAGAGGACCTTTCACTTTTTCCATCTTTATGTGGTTTTATCAATAGAAGAGAAATTAGGACTCTATTTCTTGTAGGTATTTATCTAAAAGGAAAGCCTTTTGGCAGGATGTCTACACTTACCTGTGGGATGATTTCAGTGCCTGCCTTCTCAATGTGACTCGTGTAGTTCTGCCCCGAGTCACAAGCACAGCTGATATGCAAACCCTACAGCTTACCTGGCTTGCAAGTATGGTAGACCCTCTCCAGCAGGTGTGAACATTTTCCATCTGCCCAGTCATGGAGGATCCTGGCCAGGATGTACAGATCTGCTTCCGGAAGAGGGTCTTTAAAGAAATCCCCTGGAACACAGGGCAATAGGACAGGCACCCTGAGGTCAGCCTGCCATCCAATCCCTTTTGACTAAACCTATTTCAGGTACAAAAGGTCACCGGGATGGGTCATACCTTTCCCAGGTCTTCCAGGCTAGTGACCTGCAGATCTAGCCTTGAAAAACAAAAAGGCTCAGGAGAAAGATAAGAAAATACTGAATGATATGTGTCTCCAACACACACACACAGAGGCTGTGCTCACGTCCTCAGGAACCATCAGGATGGGCGGACCTCACAGGAGAACTGGGACACTGTCCCCTTCACACACAGAGGCTGTGCTCACGTCCTCATGGACCATCAGGATGGGTGGACCTCACAGGAGAACTGGGACACTGTCCCCAATACACACAGAGGCTGTGCTCACGTCCTCATGGACCATCAGGATACGTGGACCTCACAGGAGAGCTGGGACACTGTCCCCAACACACACACAGAGGCTGTGCTCACGTCCTCACGGACCATCAGGATGGGCGGACCTCACAGGAGAACTGGGACACTGTCTCCTTCACACACAGAGGCTGTGCTCACGTCCTCATGGACCATCAGGATGGGTGGACCTCACAGGAGAACTGGGACACTGTCCCCAACATACACACAGAGGCTGTGTCCACATCCTCATGGACCATAAGCATGGGTGGACCTCACAGGAGAACTGGGACACTGTCCCCAACATACACACACAGAGGCTGTGTCCACGTCCTCATGGACCATCAGGATGGGTGGACCTCACAGGAGAACTGGGACACTGTCTCCTTCACACACAGAGGCTGTGCTCATGTCCTCATGGACCATCAGGATGGGTGGACCTCACAGGAGAACTGGGACACTGTCCCCAACACACACACAGAGGCTGTGCTCACGTCCTCATGGACCATCAGGATGGGTGGACCTCACAGGAGAACTGGGACACTGTCTCCAACACATACACAGAGGCTGTGCTCACGTCCTCATGGACCATCAGGATGGGTGGACCTCACAGGAGAACTGGGACACTGTCTCCAACACATACACAGAGGCTGTGCTCACGTCCTCATGGACCATCAGGATGGGTGGACCTCACCGGAGAACTGGGACACTGTCTCCAACACATACACAGAGGCTGTGCTCACGTCCTCATGGACCATCAGGATGGGTGGACCTCACAGGAGAACTGGGACACTGTCCCCTTCACACACAGAGGCTGTGCTCACGTCCTCATGGACCATCAGATGGGTGGACCTCCAGGAGAACTGGGACACTGTCCCCAATACACACGAGGCTGTGCTCACGTCCTCATGGACCATCAGGATACGTGGACCTCACAGGAGACCTGGGACACTGTCCCCAACACACACACAGAGGCTGTGCTCACGTCCTCATGGACCATCAGGATGGCGGACCTCACAGGAGAACTGGACACTGTCTCCTTCACACACAGAGGCTGTGCTCACGTCCTCATGACCATCAGGATGGGTGGACCTCACAGGGAACTGGGACACTGTCCCCAACTACACCAGAGGCTTGTCCACTCCATGGACATAGCATGGTGACCTCACAGGAGAACTGGGACACTGTCCCACATACACACACAGAGGCTGTTCCACGTCTCATGACCATCAGGATGGGTGGACCTCACAGGAGAACTGGGACACTGTCTCCTTCACACACAGAGGCTGTGCTCACGTCCTCATGGACCATCAGGATGGGTGGACCTCACAGGAGAATGGACACTGTCCCCAACACACACAGAGCTGTGCTCACGTCCTCATGGACCATCAGGATGGGTGGACCTCACAGGAGAACTGGACACTGTCCCAACATACCACAGAGGCTGTGTCCACATCCTCATGGACCATAAGCATGGTGGACCTCACAGGAGAACTGGGACACTGTCCCAACTACACACACAGAGGCTGTGTCCACGTCCTCATGACCATCAGGATGGGTGGACCTCACAGGAGAACTGGGACACTGTCTCCTCACACACAGAGGCTGTGCTCACGTCCTCATGGACCATCAGGATGGGTGGACCTCACAGGAGAACTGGGACACTGTCCCCACACACAAGCTGTGCACTCTCGGAACCATCAGGAGTGGACCTCACAGGAGACTGGGACACGTCCCCAACACACCGGCCCCCCTCCACAGGAGGTGACCCAAAAAACACGTCCCTTCACACACAGAGGCTGTGCTCACGTCCTCATGGACCATCAGGATGGTGGACCTCACAGGAGAACTGGGACACTGTCCCCAACACACACAGAGGCTGTGCTCACATCCTCATGGACCATCAGGATGGTGGACCTCACAGGAGAACTGGGACACTGTCCCCTTCACACACAGAGGCTGTGCTCACGTCCTCATGGACCATCAGGATGGGTGGACCTCACAGGAGAACTGGGACACTGTCTCCTTCACACACAGAGGCTGTGCTCATGTCCTCATGGACCATCAGGATGGTGGACCTCACAGGAGAACTGGGACACTGTCTCCAACACACACAGAGGCTGTGCCACTCCTCATGAACCATCAGGATGGGTGGACCTCACAGGAGAACTGGGACACTGTCCCCACACACAGAGGCTGTGCCACATCCTCATGGACCATCAGGATGGGTGGACCTCACAGGAGAACTGGGACACTGTCCCAACACACACACAGAGGCTGTACCACTCCTCATGGACCATCAGGATGGTGGACCTCACAGGAGAACTGGGACACTGTCTCCTTCACACACAGAGCTGTCCCCTCTCCACAGGTGGACCTCACAGGACACAACACACACAAACTAGCTACAAACATTCAAAAGACACGAACAGAGGACTGTCCTCCACAGTCCATTCCTCATGGACCATCAGGATGGGTGGACCTCACAGGAGAACTGGGACACTGTCCCCAACACACACAGAGGCTGTGCCCACGTCCTCGTGAACCATCAGGATGGGTGGACCTCACAGGAGAGCTGGGACACTGTCCCCAATACACACAGAGGCTGTGCCCACGTCCTCATGGACCATCAGGATGGGTGGACCTCACAGGAGAACTGGGACACTGTCTCCTTCACACACAGAGGCTGTGCTCACGTCCTCATGGACCATCAGGATGGGTGGACCTCACAGGAGAACTGGGACACTGTCCCCAACACACACACAGGCTGTGCTCACATCCTCATGGACCATCAGGATGGGTGGACCTCACAGAACTGGGACCTGTCTCCTTCACCACAAGCGTGCTCACGTCCTCATGGACCATCAGGATGGGTGGACTCACAGGAGAACTGGGACCTGTCTCCTTCACACAAGAGGCTGACCAATCCTCATGGCATCAGGATGGGGGACTCACAGGAGAACTGGGACACTGTCTCCAACACACACACAGAGGCTGTGCCCACATCCTCATGAACCATCAGGATGGGTGGACCTCACAGGAGAACTGGGACACTGTCTCCTTCACACACAGAGGCTGTGCTCACATCCTCATGGACCATCAGGATGGGTGGACCTCACAGGAGAACTGGGACACTGTCTCCAACACACACACAGAGGCTGTACCCACATCCTCATGGACCATCAGGATGGGTGGACCTCACAGGAGAACTGGGACACTGTCTCCTTCACACACAGAGGCTGTACCCACATCCTCATGGACCATCAGGATGGGTGGACCTCACAGAAGAACTGGGACACTGTCCCCAACACACACACAGAGGCTGTACCCACATCCTCATGGACCATCAGGATGGGTGGACCTCACAGGAGAACTGGGACACTGTCCCCTTCACACACAGAGGCTGTGCTCACGTCCTCATGGACCATCAGGATACGTGGACCTCACAGGAGAGCTGGGACACTGTCCCCAACACACACACAGAGGCTGTGCTCATGTCCTCATGGACCATCAGGATACGTGGACCTCACAGGAGAACTGGGACACTGTCCCCAACACACACACAGAGGCTGTGCTCACGTCCTCATGGACCATCAGGATGGGTGGACCTCACAGGAGAACTGGGACACTGTCTCCTTCACACACAGAGGCTGTGCTCACGTCCTCATGGACCATCAGGATGGGTGGACCTCTCTCCTTCTCCTTTAAAAAATCATGTTATGATTTCTTTTTTGTTTTGTTGTTTTGTTTGAGATGGAGTTTTGCTCTTGTCGCCCAGGCTGGAGTGCAATGGCCCGATCTCAGCTCACCACCACCTCCACCTCCTGGGTTCAAGCGATTCTCTTGCCTCAACCTCCCAAGTAGCTGGGATTACAGACATGCACCACCACACCGGGCTAATTTTTGTATTTTTAGTCGAGACAGGATTTCTCCACATTGCTGAGGCTGGTCTCGAACTCCCAACTTCAGGTGATCCACCCGCCTCAGTCTCCCAAAGTGCTGGGATTACAGGTGTGAGCCACCATGCCTGGCCCGTGTTGTGATTTCTTTCTTTCTGATGTCTCCTGCAAAAGTACACCTGCTATTATGACTCAAAGCCGTGGATTCCAGGAGGCCCTGGGAATTCGGTCAGCACCTGCTATCTGATGAGTTGAACAGAACCTCCAGTCAAGACCCGTTCCCAGATTTGGAGTAAACACCAAAGAGTCACCCTTTATCTTTTACGTGTGTGATGTCAAACACTCAAGTCTCGTCATACGTTTCCTGCAAAGTCATAAGGTGCCAAACTTGGGAGAGATCTTGGTGAGCTCTGTGCAGGAAAGAGTTAACTCAGGCCAGGCGCGGTGGCTCACGCCTGTCATCCCAGAACTTTGGGAGGCCGAGGCAGGTGGATCACAAGGTCAGGAGATCGAGACCATCCTGGCTAATACGGTGAAACCCTATCTACTAAAAATACAAAAATTAGCTGGGCATGGTGGTGGGTGCCTATAATCTCAGCGACTTACGAGGCTGAGGCAGAGAACTGCTTGAACCGGGAGGCAGAGGTTGCAGTGAGCTGAGACAGTGCCACTGCACTCCAGACTGGTCGACAGAGCGAGACTCCACTTCAAAAAATAAATAAATAAATAAATAAATTTTTTTTTTAAAAAAAAGGCCGGACACGGTGGCTCACACCTATAATCCCAGCACTTTGGGAGGCCGAGACGGGCGGATCACGAGGTCAGGAGATCGAGACCATCCTGGCTAACACGGTGAAACCCCGTCTCTACTAAAAATACAAAAAACTAGCCGGGCGAGGTGGTGGGCGCCTGTGTCCCAGCTACTCGGGAGGCTGAGGCAGGAGAATGGCGTGAACCCAGGAGGCAGAGCTTGCAGTGGGTCGAGATCGCACCACTGCACTCCAGCCTGGGTGACAGAGCAAGACTCCGTCTCAAAAAAAAAAAAAAAATTAGCTGGATATGGTGGCACATGTCTGTAGTCCCAGGTACTCGGGAGGCTGAGGCAGGAGAATCTCTTGAATCTGGGAGGTGGAGTTTGCAGTGAGCCAAAATCCCGCCACTGCACTCCAGCCTGGGCGACAAGAGCGAAACTCAGTCAAGAAAAAAGGGGGGGGTGGGGGGGAGGGGAGGGGGGAGGGGGAGGGAGGGGGAGGGAAGGGGAGGGAAGGGAAGGAAAGGGAAGGGAAGGGAGAGAAAAGAAAAAAAAAAAGAAAAGAAAGAAGGAGGGAGGGAGGGAAGGAAGGAGGGAGGGAGGGGGGAGGGAGGGAAGGAAGGAAGGAAGGAAGGAAGGAAGGAAGGAAGGAAGGAAGGAAGGAAGGAAGGAAGGAAGGAGAGAAAGAGACAGAGAAGAAGAGAAAGAAAGGAAAGAAAGGAGAAGAAAGGAAGGAAGGAAAGAAGGAAGGAAGGAAGGAGAAACGATGTGACTATGTGTCACAGAAAGCAGGCAGTTTGCCTGGGGTCTCATGGTAAATGGAACTCACGTGCAGCTTCCAGATTCCAACCCTGGGTGCTTCCCATTAAACCATAAGGTATCCTAACAGTTGTTCAGGTTGCAAAACCATGAACAAAAAAAACATTTTCTCTCAGGTCCTATCCAACCAACAAGTGTTGCTACAAACTCTTTCATTTTTTTTATTTTTTTATTTTTGAGATAAGGTCTCGCTCTGTCGCCCAGGCTGGAGTGCAGTGGCACGATCATGGCTCACTGCAGCCTGCACCTGCCACGCTCAGGCGATCCTCCCATTTCGACCTCCGGAACAGCTGGGGCCACAGCTGTGCATGGCTACACCTGGCTAATTTTTTTTTTTTTTTTGTAGAGACAGGGTCTCACCATGTTACCCAGGCTGATGGTAAACTTCTGAACTCAAGTGAGCCACCCACCTCGGCCTCCTAAAGTGCTTGGATGACAAGCAGGGGTCACTGCCCTGGGCCTTACCTCTTTTTTTTTTTTTTTTTTTTGAGACAGAGTCTCACACTGTCGCCCAGGCTGGAGTGCGGTGGCACCATCTGGGCTCACTGCAAGCTCCGCCTCCCAGGTTCACGCCATTCTCCTGCCTCAGCCTCCACAGTAGCTGGGACTACAGGTGCCTGCCACCTCGCCCGGCTAATTTTCTTTTTTAATTTTTAGCAGAGACGGGGTTTCTCCGTCTTAGCCAGGATGGTCTCGATCTCCTGACCTCGTGATCCACCCGCCTCGGCCTCCCAAAGTGCTGGGATTACAGGCGTGAGCCACCACAGTGGGCCTGGACCTTAACAATCTGAGAAAGTAGCATGAAAACAGGACAATGGACGCTGTAATAGGAAATCTTAAAGCCTTCTTCATCCAACTCAGGACCTTGGCATACGCTGATTGCTCCTAAAACAAGGCTTTATTTTTTTAAGATGTCCTGGATCTTGGCTCACTGCAACCTCCACCTCCCAGTTCAAGTGATTCTCCTACCTCAGCCTCAAGTAGCTGGGACTACGGGTGCACACCACCCTCCCCAGCTAATTTTTTGTATTTTTAGTAGAGACGGGGTTTCACCGTGTCAGCCAGGATGGTCTCGATCTCTTGACCTTGTGATCCGCCCACCTCGGCCTCCCAAAGTGCTGGGATTACAGGCGTGAGCCACCGCGCCCGGCCAGCGTGCTGTTTCTTTCACATAAACCAGGTTCTTCTCATCCTTCAGGTCTCATCTCAGCCTCTCGTGACCAAGCTAGTTCGATTTAATGTTTTTTCCATGGAATACAACTCAGTCATAAAACGGAAAGAAATAATGCCTTCGCAGCAACTTGGATGGAGCTGGAGGCCACCGTTTTACATGAAGGAACTCAGGAATGAAAAAAAAAATTGGATGTTTTCACTTACAAGTGGGAGCTAAGATACGAAGATGCAAAGACATACAAATGAGACAAAGAATTTCGGGGACTCAGGGTGAAATGTGGGAGGTGGGTGAGGGATAAAAGACTCTCAAAAAAAAAAAAAAAAAAGAAAAGAAAAGAAAAAGAAAAGTCGGGCACGATGGTTCACGCCTGTCATCCCAGCACTTTGGGAGGCTGAGGCGGGCAGATCGCCCGAGGTCAGGAGTTTGAGACCGGCCTGTCCAACATGATGAAATCCCACCTGTACTAAAAAGTACAAAATTTAGTCAGGTGTGTGGTAGCAGGCACCGTCATCCCAGCTACTCAGGAGGCTGAGGCAGGAGAATTGCTTGAACTGGGGAGGTGGTGGGTGCAGAGAGCCGAGATGGTGCCACTATACTCCAGCTTGGGCGACAGATGCAAACTTTGTCTCAAAAATAAATAAATAAAATAAAATAATTTTTTAAAAACAGTACATATTGAGTACAGTGCACATGGCTCGGGGGATGGGTGTAACAAAATCTCAGAATTCACCACTAAAAAACTCACCTGGTTGGGCACGGTGGCTCACACCTGTCATCCCAGCACTTTGGGAGGCCGAGGTGGGTGGATCACCTGAGGCTGGGAGTTCAAGACCAGCCTGGCCAACATGGTGAAGCCCCGTTTGTACTAAAAATACAAAACTAGCCGGGCATGGTGGGGGGCACCTGTAATCCCAGCTACTTGGGAGGCTGAGGCAGGTAAATCACTTGAAGCCGGGAGGTGGAGGTTGCAGTGAGCCGAGATTGCACCACTGAACTCCAGCCTGTAATCCCAGCAGTTCAGGAGGCCGAGGTGGGCAGATCACCTGAGGTTGGGAGTTCGAGACCAGCCTGGCCAACATGGGGAAACCCTGTCTCTACTAAAAGTTCAAAAATTAGCCGGGCGAGGTGGCGGGCGCCTGTCATCCCAGCTACTCGGGAGGCTGAGGCAGGAGAATCGCGTGAACCTGGGAGGTGGAGGTTGCAGTGAGCTGACATTGCACCACTGCACTCCAGCCTGGGGGACAGAGCAAGACTCTGTATCAAATAATAATAATGATAATAATAATTGTAAGAAAGCTGTATACCTACACACAGCTTTCCATCCATCATGAGTAACAGACAGTGTGGAGTTGAGGGTGTTGTTGGGAGCAAGAAGAAAACCACAACAGGCCAGGCGCGGTGGCTCAAGCCTGTAATCCCAGCACTTTGGGAGGCCGAGACGGGCGGATCATGAGGTCAGGAGATCGAGACCATCCTGGCTAACATGGTGAAACCCCGTCTCTACTAAAAATACAAAAAACTAGCCGGGCGAGGTGGCGGCGCCTGTAGTCCCAGCTACTCGGGAGGCTGAGGCAGGAGAATGGCGTGAACCCGGGAGGCGGAGCTTGCAGTGAGCTGAGATCTGGCCACTGCACTCCAGCCTGGGTGACAGAGCGAGACTCTGTCTCAAAAAAAAAAAAAAAAAATCGCATGACGTCTTCATCATCTCCCAGAAGCGTCCAGCCACACCCCGTGCTCGGAGAAACCATAAGACACGTCTCTGCTTCCCTGACAGACACCAACACACCTTCCTGGAGGTGAATGTCTTCCTCCTCCGGGAATGAGAAGTGCTGCTTTGCCGTCCGCACCACTTCTGGGACGTCGAAAACGGTGACCTTACATCCAGGATACAGAGACAGGCATTCCTTTGCCAGAGCTCCAGGGCCACCTGGAAGAGGACAAAGCGTGTCTGGCCCCCAGAGATGAACCGGGAAGACGTCACTCGCCCTCCACGCTCCGTGGACCCATGAAGGGTTCAAACCAGGAACTTGGGTCCTTCCACCGTGTCTGGTCTTCGACACCAGCCTGGCCAACGTGGCAAAACTCCGTGTCTATCAAAAAAATACAAAAATTAGCCTGCCGTGGTGGCGGACGCCTGTGATCCCAGCTACTCGGGAGGCTGAGGCAGGAGAATCGCTTGAACCCGGGAGGCGGAGGTTGCAGTGAGCTGAGATCACACCACTGCATTCCAGCCTGGGCGATAGAGCAAGATTACATCTAAAAAATAAAATAAAATATAGGGGCTGGGCACGGTGGCTCACGCCTGTCATCCCAGCACTTTGGGAGGCCGAGGCGGGTCAATCATGAGGTCAAGAGATACAGAGCAGCCTGGCCAATATGGCAAAATCCCGTCTCTATTTAAAAATCCAAAAATTAGCCTGGCATAGCGGCGTGCACCTGTAATCCCAGCTACTCGGGAGGCTGGGGCGGGAGAATTGCTTGACCTGGGAGGCGGAGGTTTGCAGTGAGCTGAGATCACACCACTGTACTCCAGCCTGGGCAATAGAGCAAGATTACATCTAAAAAAAAGATAAAATATAGGGGCCAGGCATGGTTGCTCACACCTGTCATCCCAGCATTTTCGGAGGCCAAGGCAGGTGGATCACGAGGTCAAGAGATACAGACTAGCCTGGCCAACATGGCAAAACCCCGTCTTTATTTAAAAAATCCAAAAATTAGCCTGGCATAGTGGCGGGCACCTGTAATCCCAGCTACTTGGGAGGCTGGGGCAGGAGAATTGCTTGACCTGGGAGGCGGAGGTTGCAACGAACCGAGATCGCACCACTGTACTCCAGCCTGGGCAATAGAGCAAGATTACATCTAAAAAAAAGATAAAATAGAAATAAAAGAAAAGCGTGCTTGCGGCGGAGATGTTTGCTGACTCTAGGAAGTGCCCAGTGCCGGGAGGAATGATTCCTCCAAGACCAGAAATCCCCTACATGTCAAAGCATCAGAATGCAGAAAATAAAAGCCATTGTTAGGCCGGGCGCGGTGGCTCACACCTGTCATCCCAGCACTTTGGGAGGCCGAGGCGGGCACAGCTCATGATGTCAAGAGATCGAGACCAACATGGTGAAACCCTGTCTCTACTAAAAATACAAAAAATTAGCCGGGTGGGGGAGCTTGCACCTGTAGTCCCAGCTACTCTGGAGGCTGAGGTGGGAGAATTGCTTGAACCTGGGAAGCGGAGGTTGCAGTGAGCTGAGATCGTCCCACTGCACTCCAGCCTGGGTGACAGAGCGAGACTCCATCTCAAAAAAAAAAAAAGACATTGCTAACACGCTCCCTACAGAGAACAGGAGACACGGCTGTGAGGTATTGGGGGTTGGGGGGTACCTACCACCAAGGTCGCACATAAGTGGGAACCCCGAAAGGTCAAAGGCGGTGAGCACGCTTCTCCCGTTGACGCTCCAGACCTCCTGCAGAGCTTGCATGAACTGCAGCCGCTCACCCTCAGACCTGGTGTGCAAAGCCACGCTCGTGAAGACGGTGAAGATCCGGGCAAGCCTCCAGAGCAAGGGCGTACATAACCCCCTGCTGAGAATACAGCTGTACCCCACAGGTGCACCTGAGGGCTTCGTATGTGTGAGATGGAACACGGAGTCATTTGGGATGGGGCAACCAAAGACAAAGAGGTCGGCCACCAAAGGGTACGCAGCTCTGGGAAACCCGGGGTCGAGTCAGAACGCATCACTGTTCTCTGGATGGGAAGGGATTTCCCCACTCGATGGGAAGGGATTTCTATCCGAAGAGGAGTTTAGATGTTTTCTAAGGGGAAAGTCGATAATATGTCCCCCCACCCACAGAGCTCAGCTCCAGAGGACAAATCCAGGAAGGGGGGGGGTCCACATATCCTGGGGCAGGGGCCCCAGAAGGTGGGAATTCAGGTGGTGGGGGAAGAGGCTAGAGAAAAGGCAGGAACTAGTAAGGGAGGGAGGTGAGATGGAGCCAAGGACAGCTGGACACGGAGGCGGACAGAGCTCATGTGTTGCAAGCTCCCTCTCTCCTCCTGTCCTCTTTAAAGAGCCTGCTGCGGGGGTTTGCCTCAGAGTAATGAGGGCTGCAAAACTGCCTCTTAGGTACCAGAGTCACTATTCAGGTGATGACCACACTAAAAGCCCAGCCTCCACACCGCAACACGTAAGCATGGAACAGACGGGGACTTGTGCCCACTAAACAGATACATATATACACATATACATACACATGTATACATATATTCACATATGTATGAAGAAAGGAAGGAAGAAGGAGAAAAAGAAAAAAGGAAAGAAGAAAGGAAAGGAGAGAAAGAAAGAAAGAGAGAGAAAGAAAGAAAAGAAAAAAGAAAGGAAATGAGGAAGGAAGGAGGGAAGGAAGGAAGGAAGGAAGGAAGGAAGGAAGGAAGGAAGGAAAGAAAAGAAAGAAATGGGTGAGGGACGGAGGAAAGGAGAGAGGGTGGGTGGGAGGGAAGGAAGGAAGGACTAAGGGAAGGGGGGAAGGAAGGAAGTGAGGGAGGGAAGTAGAGAGGGTGGGAGGGAGGGAAGGGAGGAAGGAAGGAGACAGGGAGGGAGGAAGGGAGAAAGGAAAGAAGGTAGGAAGGAAAAAAAAGAAACAAAGAAAAGAAAGAAAGAAAGAGAGAAATAAAGAAAGACTGAAAGGAGAAGAGAGGAGGAAAAAAGGAGGGGAAATATGGGGCATGAAAACGGAAGACGAGAGAAAGGAGAAGACGGGAGAGGAGAAGGAGAGAGGCAGGCGAAGGGAGGCGACGGGAGAGGTAGAAATGAAAAGAGAGGAGAGAAGGGAAGAGAAAGAAAGGAAGAAAGAGAGGAGAAAGGAAGAGGAAAAGAAGAGAAAGAGGATGAAAGGGGATGGGAGGGAAAAGGAGAGGAGAGGAAAGAAGAGAGTGAAGAAGAGAGAAGGGAGAGGAGACAAGAGAGGGAAGATGGGAGAGAGAAGGGGGGAGGTGGAGAGAAAAAGAGAGGAGAGAAGGAAAAGGAGAGAAAGAGAGGAGGACAGAAGAGGAAGAGAGGGAACAGGATGGAAGGAGAGGAGAGGGGAGGGGAATAGAGGGGAGAGGAGGGGAGGAGAGGAGAGGCTGGGGGGCAGGCAAACCCCTCAGGCATCCCCTTGTCCTTCATACGCTTCTCTACTCCATGCCTCAGCTGGAACACTGGACCGGCCCATCAATCCACCTCCACCTTGGAATTCCAGGTAAGAGCTTCAGGCAAAGGCCAAAGCTGTGTCCACGTCCACAAAGCAAAGTGAAGAACTGGGGTCTCCCCTGGCCTCACCTTCACCTCTGACCAAATCAAAAACTGGGCCTCTATTTTCTTTCTTTCTTTCTTTCTTTTTGAGATGGAGTTTCACTCTTGTTGCCCAGGCTGGAGTGCAATGGCGTGATCTCAGCTCACTGCAACCTCCACCTCCCAGGTTCAAGCGGTTCTCCTGCCTCAGCCTCCCGAGTAGCTGGGATTACAGGTGCACACCACCACACCCGGTTAACTTTTGTATTTTTAGTAGAGACGGGGTTTCACCGTGTTGGCCAGGCTGGTCTCGAACTCCTGACCTCAGGTGATCCGCCCACCTCGGCCTCCCAAAGTGCTGGGATGACAGACGTAAGCCACCTCGCCTGGCCGGTGCCTCCATGTTCTACATAAACACTGAGTTTGTGAGTAGTCCTTTGGAAGGAAGGGTCAAGTTGCACCCACTCAACAACTGGATCCATTCGAACATCAGAATCTGGGATGGTAGTGGGGGTGGCGTGTGTTATTTTAAACTAAATGGTGACTTCCTCCTGGGTTATCCCGTTTGAGTACATTGATTGGGTCTCCTAAGTCCTTTAGAAATAAACACAATCTTATCTGAGTTGTTGGTTTCAAAGTGATGGGTGTTACCTGTAGATGGCTTTAAAAAGGTCTTCAGCGGGAACGCCAAACGTCTGCAGGTACTGGTTCTTTCCTTCTCTAAGAAAAGAGAGGGAAGGCTGCTGTTTAACTACCTCATCTCATCTCATCATCTCATCTCACCTCATCATCTTATCTCATCATCTCATCTCACCTCATCATCTTATCTCATCTCATCATCTCATCTCATCTCATCTCATCATCTCATCTCATCTCATCATCTCATCATCTCATCTCATCTCATCATCTCATCATCTCATCTCATCATCTCATCACATCATCTCATCTCATCATCTCATCTCACCTCATCATCTTATCTCATCATCTCATCTCACCTCATCATCTTATCTCATCTCATCATCTCATCTCATCTCATCATCTCATCTCATCATCTCATCTCATCATCTCATCTCATCTCATCATCTCATCTCATCTCATCATCTTATCTCATCATCTCATCTCACCTCATCATCTTATCTCATCATCTCATCTCATCTCATCATCTCATCTCACCTCATCATCTTATCTCATCATCTCATCTCACCTCATCATCTTATCTCATCTCATCATCTCATCTCATCTCATCATCTCATCTCATCATCTCATCTCATCTCATCATCTCATCTCATCATCTCATCTCATCATCTCATCTCACCTCATCATCTTATCTCATCATCTCATCTCACCTCATCATCTTATCTCATCTCATCATCTCATCTCATCTCATCATCTCATCATCTCATCTCATCATCTCATCTCATCATCTCATCTCATCATCTCATCTCATCTCATCATCTCATCTCATCATCTCATCATCTCACCTCATCATCTCATCATCTCATCTCATCTCATATCTCATCTCATCTCATCATCTCATCTCATCATCTCATCTCATCATCTCATCTCATCTCATCATCTCATCTCATCTCACCTCACCTCACCTCATCTCATCATCTCATCTCATCTCATCTCATCATCTCATCATCTCATCATCTCATCTCATCATCTCATCTCATCTCATCTCATATCATCATCTCATCTCATCTCATCTCATCATCTCATCTCATCTCATCTCATCATCTCATCTCACCTCATCATCTCATCTCATCATTTCATCTCATCATCTCATCTCATCATCTCATCTCATCTCATCATCTCACCTCATCTCATCATCTCATCTCATCTCATCATCTCATCTCATCATCTCATCTCATCTCATCTCATCTCATCATCTCATCTCATCTCATCTCATCATCTCACCTCATCTCATCATCTCATCTCATCTCATCATCTCATATCATCTCATCTCATCATATCTCATCACATCTCATCTCATGTCATCTCATCATCTCATCTCATCTCATCATCTCATCTCATCATCTCATCTCATCATCTCATCTCATCATCTCACCTCATCATCACATCTCATCATCTCATCATCATCTCACTCATCATCTCATCTCATCTCATCTCCTCATCTCATCTCTCATCTCATCATCTCATCATCTCATCATCTCATCATCTCATCTCATCATCTCATCTCATCTCATCATCTCATCATCTCATCATCTCATCTCATCATCTCATCTCATCTCATCATCTCATCATCTCATCTCATCTCATCTCATCATCTCATCATCTCATCTCATCATCTCATCTCATCATCTCATCTCATCTCATCATCTCATCTATCATCTCATCTCATCTCATCATCTCATACATCTCATCTCATCATCTCATCCATCTCATTCTCATCTCATCATCTCATCTCATCTCATCTCTCATCATCTCATCTCACCATCTCATCTCATCTCATCATCTCATCTCATCATCCATCTCACCTCACCTCATCTCATCATCTCATGTCATCTCATCTCATCATCTCACCTCATCTCATCATCTCATCTCATCATCTCATCATCTCATCTCATCATCTCATCTCATCATCTCACCTCACGTCACCTCACCTCACCATACCATCTCATCTCATCTCATCATCTCATCTCATCTCACCATCTCATCTCATCTCATCTCATCTCATCTCATCATCTCATCTCATCTCATCTCATCATCTCATCTCATCTCATCTCATCTCATCTCATCTCATCATCTCATCATCTCATCTCATCTCATCTCATCTCATCTCATCTCAGTCGCCCAGGCTGGAGTGCAATGGCATGATCTCGGCTCACTGCAACCTCTGCCTCCAAGGTTCATGCTATTCTCCTGCCTCAGCCTCCCGAGTAGCTGGGACTACAGGCGCCCGCCACCGCGCCTGGCTAATTTTTGTATTTTTAGTAGAGACGGGGTTTCACCATGTTGGTCAGGCTGGTCTTGAACTCCTGACCTCTTGATCTGCCCGCGTTGGCCTCCCAAAGTGCTGGGATTACAGGTGTGAGCCACCGTGCCCGGCCTTATCTTATTTTATGAGATGGAGTCTCGCTCTGTCGCCCAGGCTGGAATTCTATGGCACTATCTTGGCTCACTGCAATCTCCGACTCCTGGGTTCAAGCGATTCTCCCGCCTCAGCCTCCTGAGTAGATGGGACTATAGGCACCCGCCACCACACCTGGCTAATTTTTTGTATTTTTAGTAGAGATGGAAGTTTCACTGTGTTGGTCAGGCTGGTCTCGAACTCCTGACCTCAAGTGATCTGCCCACCTCGGCCTCCCAAAGTGCTGGGATGACAGGCGTGAGTCACCGCACCCGGCCACACCAGGTGATTTCTACCGTCTGCTCTGGGTGAGCAACTCTAGCAATTCCATGATTGGTTCTGCAAGAAATCTGCCATTTCAGGCTGGGTGAGGTGAGATGGTGCCACTGCACTCCAGACTGGTCGACAGAGCGAGATTCCATTCAAAAAATAAATAAATAAATATATATATATTTTTTTTTTTTTAAAAAGGCTGGGTGCGGTGTCTCACGCCTATAATCCCAGCACTTTGGGAGGCTGAGGTGGGCAGATCACCGGAGGTCAGGAGATTGAGACCATCCTGGCTAACATGGCGAAACCCCGTCTCTAGCTGGACGTGGTGGCAGGTGTCTGTAGTCCCAGCTACTCGGGAGGCTGAGGCAGGAGAATGGCTTGAACCCAGGAGGCGGAGGTTGCAGTGAGCCAAGACTGTACCACTGCACTCCAGCCTGGGTGACGGAGCGAGACTCCGTCTCAAAAAAAAAAAAAAAAACTTTCCCTTTCACCTCCTCCAATGCCCCTTCACCAGCCCCCCGGGGGTACCACCTGGATGCAGTCCCCACCTCACAGCATCTGCCAGGTGGCCCCAGCACCCGTAACTGGTCCTGCCCATGTACTTTAGCAGGTTGCATTGTGAGGTCGGGCTGACCCTGGTCAGGTAGGCGCTGGACAGCTCTGTGTTTTGATAGAAAGCTGAAACACACAAAAAAGAACAGGGAGAAAGCAGTGAGATTCCGAGTCCCTGCTGGCGGACGCTCCCCAGCTCACCAACGTGGTGATTTCCACATGATTCCTGCCTGGGAGCGCCAACACCCGCACAGCTGGGGCGTTCTGTGGAAGGCACAAAGGTGACCTGGGGCAGCTGGCACCCCCGTCAGGTTCGGTTTAGACAAATCCCATCAAGAGTTTTGGGTGGAGGAAGTACAAATGCAGTTGAACCACGAGAGAAAACACACATTACATTTCCCAGAGTGTCTAAAATAACATATTGAGGCTGGGCACGGTGGTTCACGACAGTCATCCTAGCACTTTGGGAGGCCGAGGCAGGTGGATCACCTGAGGTCAGGAGTTCGAGACCAGCCTGGCCAACAGGGCGAAATCCTGTCTCTACTAAAAATACAAAAACTAGCCTGGCCAGGTGGCGGGTGCCTGTAATCTCAGCTACTGGGGAGGCTGAGGCAGGAGAATCACTTGAACCCGGGAGGCAGAGGTTGCAGTGAGCCGAGATTGCACCGCTGCAGTCCAGCCTGGGCAACAGAGCGAGACTCTGTCTCAAAAACAGAGCGAGAGGGCCGGGCATGGTGGCTCACTCCTGTAATCCCAGCACTTTGGGAGGTCGAGGCAGGTGGATCACCTGAGATCAGGAGTTTGACACTAGCCTGGCCAACATGCTGATACCCCGTCTCTACTAAAAATACAAAAATTAGCCAGGTGTCGCGGCTCACGCCTGTAGTCCCAGTTACTCAGGAGGCTGAGGCAGGAGAATCGCTTGAACCGGGGAGGCAGAGGTTACAGGGAGCCAAGATCTCACCATTGTACTCCAGCCTGGGGACAGAGTGAAACTCCGTCTCAAAAAAAAAAAAAAAAGAAAGAAAGAAACCCCATCATTCGCATAACATCTCTGGCTGTTTTTTTTGTGTGTGTATGGTTTTGTTTTTTGTTTTGTTTTGTTTTGACACAGGACCAATCCTCCTGCCTCAGCCTCCTGAGTAGCTGGGACCACAGGCGTGTACCACGACTCCCTGTTCATTTTTGTATTATTATTATTATTATTATTATTTTTTTTTTATTATTATTATTATTTTGAGATGCAGTCTTGCTCAGTTACCCAGGCTCACCGCAACCTCTGCCTCTCAGGTTCAAGCAATTCTTCTGTCTCAGCTTTCCGAATAGCTGGGACCACAGGTGTATACCACCTCTCCCAGTTAATTTTTCTGTCTTTTTTAGAAATGGGGTCTTGCGACGTGGCCCAGGCTGCTCTCGAACTCCTGGGCTCAAGGAATCCCCCAGCCTGGGCCTCGCACTCTGGCAGCTTTGACGTCCCCAGGGCAGACCTCGGTAGCTACGACACAAACCACATGAACCCCCAAACCTGCAAATACAGACGGAATCTCGCTCTGTCACCCAGGCTGGAGTGCAGGGGTGCGATCTCGGCTCACTGCAACCTCTGCCTCCCGGGTTCACGCCGTTCTCCTGCCTCAGCCTCCCCAGTAGCTGAGAAGACAGGCGCCCGTCACCACGCCCGGCTAATGTTTTGTATTTTTTTAGTAGAAATGGGGTTTCGCGGTGTTAGCCGGGATGGAGACGGTCTGGCTTTGTACAAAACACATGGGCTGCAGAGGGTGGCCCGCTTAAAATGCCTCCTTCAAAACACTCATGTCCTCACCTTTTCCTGCCCTCGTCTCCACTTTCAACAGCTTCAGGGACACGCAGGTGTCCAGCAGGAGCTCTGTCCCGTGGGAGCTGGCCTCCACACCTGCAGCCACTGCTGCCACGTCCAGGGGCCCTGGGGCCTCGGCGAGAAGGTCGAACACCCCCAGCTCGCAAGCGGCGAAGAGAACCTTGAAGGAGGAGCAGAAATAAAAGGTCAGCGCTCAGCCTGACCCTGGGAACCCATGGCCACAGAAACACCCCATAGGACGCCAGGCTGGGGAGGAACGCATTGTTTTATTTACATTTTTATTCATCTCTTTCTTTCTTTCTTTTTTTGAGACGGAGTCAAATGAGGTTGCACCACTATGGAAAACAGGCATTTTTATTTATTTATTTATTTATTTATTTATTTATTTATTTATGTTAATTTATGTATGTATTTTGAGATGACGTCCCACTACATCGCCCAGGCTGGAGTGCAGTGGCGCCATCTCGGCTCACCGTAACCTCCGCCTCCCGGGTTCAAGTGATTCTCCTGCCTCAGTCTCCCGAGTAGCTGGGATTACAGGCCTATCCCACCATCCCCGGCTAATTTTTATATTTTTAGTAAAGACGGGGTTTCACCATGTTAGCCAGGCCAGTCTGGACCTCCTGACCTCAAGTGACCCGCCCTCCTCAGCCTCCCAAAGTGCTGGGATGACAGGCATGAGCCACCACGCATGGTCCTCTCTCTCTCTTTTTGAGACAGTCTTGCTCTGTCGTCCAGGCTGGAGGACGGTGGCGCGATCTCAGCTCACTATAACCTCAGCCTCCTGGGTTCAAGTGATTCTCCTGCCTCCCCGTCCCGAGTAGATGGGATTACAGGCGCCCACCACCACACCCAGCTAAGTTTTCCATTTTTAGTAGAGACGGGGTTTCTCCATGTTGGCCAGGCTGGTCTTGAACTCCTGACCTCAAGTGATCCACCCGCCTCAGCCTCCCAAAGTGCTGGGATGACAGCCGTGAGCCACTGCGCCCAGCAGCTCTTGTTCTAATAACTTTGTATTAACTAATTTTTTCTGTTAAGGGTAGAGAAAGTTTTATTCTATTAAGGTTGGATTAATAATAATTAATAATTAATTAATAATAATTCTATTAAGATTGTGTTAACTTGTTTCGTTAAGTTTTTATGGTTGTTATTCTGTGAATCATATTAAGGTTGTCTTAGCTCCTGTTTTATTTGTATTAATTAATTACTCTATTAAGGGTGTGTTAGGTTATTCTGTTAAGGTTTTATGAGTTCTTGTTCTTATGAAGCTTGTATTAAGATGTATTCTATTCAGGTGGTATTACCTTTTTTGTTAAGCTGTTATTAATTCCTGTTTGCTTAAGATTGCATTGACTGCTTGTTACAGTAAGTCTGCATCAAGTTTATTCTACTAAGCTTGTATTAGCACCTTTTCTATTAAAGCTAGATTAGGCCGGGCGCGATGGCTCACACCTGTCATCCCAGCACTTTGGGAGGCCGAGGCAGGCAGATCACTTGAGGTCAGGAGTTCGAGACCAGCCTGGCCAACACAGGAAAACCCTGTCTCCACTAAAAATACAAAAAGTAGCCAGGCGTGGTGCATGCCTGTAATCCCACCTGTTCAGAAGGCTGAGAATGGCATGAACCCAGGAGGCAGAGGTTGCAGTGAGCTGAGATCGCACCACTGCACTCCAGCCTGGGCGACAGAGCGAGACTCGGTCTTTAAAAAAACAAAAAAGCTATATGAATTCTTGTTCTTTAATGTTGTATTAACCTTTTAAAACTAGCATTGTGTTCTGTTTTATTCATTAAAGTTGTATTCATTCCTGTTGGGGATGGGTGAATTAATTGTTCTTTTAAGGGTATATTAAATGTTATCTTCTTACGTCTATGTTCACTCTTGGTCTATGAAAGTTGCATTAACTAATTGTTTCTGTTAAGGGTGTACTAAGCTTGATCTTTTTTTTTCTGCTCCCAAAAAGTTTTATTATTATTATTATTATTATTATTATTATACTTTAAGTTCTGGGATACATGTACAGAACATGCAGGTTTGTTACACTGGTATACATGTGCCATGGCGGTCTGCTGTAGGTATACACCTGCCATGGTGGTCTGCTGTAGGTATACACCTGCCATGGTGGTCTGCTATAGGTATACACCTGCCATGGTGGTCTGCTGTGGGTACACACCTGCCATGGTGGTCTGCTGTGAATATACACCTGCCATGGTGGTCTGCTGTAGGTATACATGTGCCATGGTGGTCTGCTGTAGGTATACACCTGCCATGGTGATCTGCTGTAGGTACACACCTGCCATGGTGGTCTGCTGTGGGTATACACGTGCCATGGTGGTTTGCTGTAGGTATACACGTGCCATGGTGGTGTTCTGTAGGTATACACCTGCCATAGTGGTTTGCTGTAGGTATACACGTGCCATGGTGGTGTTCTGTAGGTATACACCTGCCATGGTGGTCTGCTGTATGTGTACACCTGCCATGGTGGTCTGCTGTAGGTATACACCTGCCATGGTGGTTTGCTGTAGGTATACATGTGCCATGGTGGTCTGCTGTGGGTATACACCTGCCATGGTGGTCTGCTGTGGGTATACACCTGCCATGGTGGTTTGCTGTAGGTATACACCTGCCATGGTGGTTTGCTGTAGGTATACATGTGCCATGGTGGTCTGCTGTGGGTATACACCTGCCATGGTGGTTTGCTGTGGGTATACACCTGCCATGGTGGTTTGCTGTAGGTATACATGTGCCATGGTGGTCTGCTGTGGGTATACACCTGCCATGGTGGTTTGCTGTGGGTATACACGTGCCATGGTGGTCTGCTGTAGGTACACACCTGCCATGGTGGTCTGCTGTGGGTATACACGTGCCATGGTGGTTTGCTGTGGGTATACACCTGCCATGGTGGTTTGCTGTAGGTATACACGTGCCATGGTGGTCTGCTGTAGGTATACACCTGCCATGGTGGTTTGCTGTGGGTATACACCTGCCATGGTGGTCTGCTGTAGGTATACATGTGCCATGGTGGTTTGCTGTGGGTATACATGTGCCATGGTGGTCTGCTGTGGGTATACACCTGCCATGGTGGTCTGCTGTGGGTATACACGTGCCATGGTGGTCTGCTGTAGGTATACACGTGCCATGGTGGTCTGCTGTAGGTATACACGTGCCATGGTGGTCTGCTGTAGGTATACACGTGCCATGGTGGTTTGCTGTGGGTATACACCTGCCATGGTGGTCTGCTGTGGGTATACACCTGCCATGGTGGTCTGCTGTAGGTATACACCTGCCATGGTGGTCTGCTGTGGGTATACATGTGCCATGGTGGTCTGCTGTGGGTATACACCTGCCATGGTGGTCTGCTGTAGGTATACACCTGCCATGGTGGTCTGCTGTGGGTATACACGTGCCATGGTGGTCTGCTGTAGGTATACACGTGCCATGGTGGTCTGCTGTAGGTATACACGTGCCATGGTGGTCTGCTGTAGGTATACACCTGCCATGGTGGTTTGCTGTGGGTATACACCTGCCATGGTGGTCTGCTGTAGGTATACACCTGCCATGGTGGTCTGCTGTGGGTATACACCTGCCATGGTGGTCTGCTGTGGGTATACACGTGCCATGGTGGTTTGCTGTAGGTATACATGTGCCATGGTGGTCTGCTGTGGGTATACACGTGCCATGGTGGTCTGCTGTGGGTATACACCTGCCATGGTGGTCTGCTGTAGGTATACACCTGCCATGGTGGGCTGCTGTGGGTATACATGTGCCATGGTGGTCTGCTGTGGGTATACACGTGCCATGGTGGTCTGCTGTGGGTATACACGTGCCATGGTGTTTGCTGCACCCATCAACCTGTCACTTACATTAGGTATTTCTCCTAATGCTATCCCTCCCATAGGCCCCACTTTTTTTTATTTTTTGAGGATACTGGGTCTGGGTCTGTCTGCCAGGCTGGAGTGCTATGGTGTGATCTCGGCTCACTGCAACCTCTGCCTCCCAGGGTTCAAGAGATTCTCCTGCCTCAGCCTCCTGAGTAGCTGGTACTACAGGCACCTGCCACCATGCCCAGGTAATCTTTGTATTTTTAGTAGAGATGGGGTTTCACCATATTGGCCAGGCTGGTCTCGAACTCCTGACCTTGTGATCCACCCGCCTCGGCCTCCCAAAGTGCTGGGATGACACGCGTGAGCCACCGCACCCAGCCAAGGGGATACTCAATGTTATCTTCTTATGTCTGTGTTCACTCTTGGTCTATGAAAGTTGCATTAGCTAATTGTTTCTGTTAAGGGTGCACTAAGTTTGATCCTCTTAAGGTGGTATTAACTCTGCCTTAACTCTGGTTCTGTTCAACTGCTGACAGCTCCCATGACATGGTATCATGTGCCCTAAAGTGATTGTTCTTCCAAGATTTCGGACCCAGCAAACCCCCTGTGAACCAGCGACAGGCTTCGAATGAGCAGTCAGTAGCCCCAGCAGGCTGGGTCAAAGGAGGCAAAGGGAGCAGGTGACTGTTGTCTGGGACAGTAACAAAAACCCACCTCTACTAAAAAATAGAAAAATTAGCCAGACGTGGTGGCGCGTGCATGTCATCCCAGCACTTTGAGAGGCCAAGGCGGGCGGATCACGAGGTCAGGAGATGGAGACCAGCCTGGCTAACATGGTGAAACCCCGTTTCTACTAAAAATACAAAAAATGAGCCGGCATACAAAAAATTAGCCGATCGCGGTGGCGGCGCCTGTAGTCCCAGCTACTCGGGAGGCTGAGGCAGGAGAATAGCGTGAACCCGGGAGGCGGAGCTTGCGGTGAGCCGAGATCGCGCCACCACACTCCAGCCTGGGGGACAGAGCGAGACTCCGTCTCAAAATAAAAAAAAATAAAAATAAAAATAGAAAAATTAGCCAGACGTGGTGGCGTGTGCCTGTCATCCTAGCACTTTGAGAGGCCGAGGTGGGCGGATCACCTGAGGTCAGGAGATCAAGACCAGCCTGGCTAACACGGTGAAACCCCGTCTCTACCAAAAATACAAAAAATGAGCCAGGCGTGGTGGTGGGCGCCTGTAATCCCAGCTACTTGGGAGGCTGAGGCAGGAGAACTGCTTGAACCTGGGAGACAGAGCTTGCAGAGAGCTGAGATTGTGCCATGGCACTCCAGCCTGGGCAACAACAGTGAAACTCCATATCAGAAAAGTAAATAAAAATAAAAAATAAATTAGCTGGGCTTGGTGGCAGGCACCTGTAATCCCAGGTACTCAGGAGGCTGAGGCAGGAGAATCGCTTGAACCCGGGAGGCTGCTCCACGTATGGGTGGCTGGGGAATAGGTATTTCCAACCCTTGAGAGCCTAGGGATAAAATTCAGGGGCTCTACAAACAAGGAACGAGAAGAGATTTCACTCTGATTTTCACTACCTCTTCCTAAGATGGGCTATTCCCGCCAACCATGAGCGTACTTCAAGCCACAGCTGTGATCCAAGAGCCTGAGGGAGCCACCGGGTGCGGTGGCTCACACCTGTCATCCTAGCACTTTGGAGGCCGAGGTGGATCAACTGAGGAGTTGGGAGTTCGAGACCAGCCTGACCAACCTGGACAATCCCCATCTCTACTAAAAATACAAAATTATCCGGGCATGGTGGGGCGGTGCCTGTCATCCCAGCTACTAGGGAGGCTGAGGCAGCAGAATCGCTTAAACCTGGGAGGCGGAGGTTGCAGTGAGCCAAGATCGTGCCCCCGCACTCCAGCCCGGGCAACTAGAGTGGAACTCTGAAAAAAAAAAAACAATAACAAAAAACCAAAAAATCCTGTGGCTTGCTGACAGAGAACCCACAGATATTTTCATGTCACATGAGAGCTGCTGCGGACGTCTCAAAATACCGCCAGCACATGACCCCCTTGCACAACGCTGCTGGTTTTTCTGTTTTTGTTTTGAGACAGAGTCTCACTGTGTCGTCCAGGCTGGAGCGCAGTGGCAGGATCTCGGCTCACTGCAACCTCCGCCTCCCGGGTTCAAGGGATTCTCCTGCCTCAGCCTCCTGAGCAGCTGGGATGACAGGCGCCCACCACCACGCCTGGCTAATTTTTGTATTTCTAGTAGAGACGGGGTTTCACCGTGTTAGCCAGGCTGGTCTCAAACTCCTGACCTCAGGTGATCCTCCCGCCTCAGCCTCCCTAAGTGCCGGGATGACAGGCGTGAGCCACCGTGCCCGGCCAAGATCTGCTGGTTTCAGTATCCTCATCGCCACCACCTGCAGCCATCATCTTGGTGTTGCTGTCACGAAGCAGTGGAGTTTTGTGTTGTCAAAACTGCAGTTTTACTCAAGAAAAAAAAAAAAAAAAGGCCTGGGGGAAGAAAACGGCGATTGCATATGAGAGAAGCCCATTCCCTCAGCCCATGAAGTCAGCCACAGACGCTTTCATTCCAATCGCCTCTTTAGATCTTTGGAAACTGCAGTTGTTCAACATCTGGGCTCACCTCATCAAGACCACTGTACTGTTTAATACCGTTACCCAACGCACTGAACACCCATTCGTGGAGGAAGCTTTAAAAAAAATAAACGTATCCCGGCCGGGCGCAGCGGCTCATGCCTGTCGTCCTAGCACTTTGGGAGGCCGAGGCCGGCAGATCCCTTGAGGTCAGGAGTTCAAGACCAGCCTGGTCAACATAGTGAAACCCCCCCAACCTCTACTAAAAAATAGAAAAATTAGGCCGGGCGCGGCAGCTCATGCCTGTAATCCCAACACTTTGGGAGGCCGAGACGGGCGGATCACGAGGTCAGGAGATCGAGACCATCCTGGCTAACACAGTGAAACCCCATCTCTACTAAAAATACAAAAAATTAGCTGGGCGAGGTGGCGGGCGCCTGTAGTCCCAGCTCCTCGGGAGGCTGAGGCAGGAGAATGGCGTGAACCCGGGAGGCGGAGGTTGCAGTGAGCTGAGATCGCGCCACTGCGCTCCAGCCTGGGCGACAGAGCGAGACTCTGTCTCAAAAAAAAAACCAAAAAAAAATAGAAAACTTAGTTGGACGTGATGGCACGTGCCTGTAATCCTAGCACTTTGGGAGGCCGAGGCGGGTGGATCACCTGAGGTCAGGAGTTTGAGACCAGCCTGGTCAACATGATGAAACCCCGCCTCCACCAAAAATAGAAAAAATTAGCTGGGCGTGGTGGCAGGTGCCTGTAATCCCAGCTATTCGGGAGGCTGAGGCAGAACTGCTTGAACCCGGGAGGTGGAGGTGGCAGTGAGCTGAGATCATACCACTGCATTCCAGCCTAGGCAACAAGAGTGAAACTCCATATCAGAAAAATAAATAAATAAATAAATAAATAAAAATTAAAAATAAAATAATTAGCCGGGCTTGGTGGCGGGCGCCTGTAATCCCAGCTACTCGGGAGGCTGAGGCAGGAGAATGGCTGGAACCCGGGAGGCAGAGGCTGCAGTGAGCCGAGATCACACCACTGCACTCCAGCCTGGGAGACAGAGCAAGACTCTGTCTCAAAATAAAAAAAATAATAAAGAATAAATAAAAAAATAAATCTCTGACTTATCTCTATGTTTGCATTAAAGTAAAATTCATAAAATTCACCATTAACCATTCTTGTTTTGTGTGTGTGTGTGTGGGGTTTTCTTGTTTCTGTTTTTTCTTTTTTCTTTTTTTTTTTTTTTGAGACAGAGTCTCGCTCTGTCGCCCAGGCTGGAGTGCAGTGGCGCGATCTCGGCTCACTGCAACCTCCGCCTCCCGGGTTCACGCCATTCTCCTGCCTCAGCCTCCCGAGTAGCTGGGATTACAGTCATGCACCACCAAGCCCAGCTAATTTGTGTATTTTCAGTAGAGACGGGGTTTCACCATATTGGCCAGGCTGGTCTCGAACTCCTGACCTCGTGATCTGCCCGCCTCAGCCTCCCAAAATGCTGAGATGACAGGCGTGAGGCACCGCGCCCGGCCCAATGTACTCACATATATTGATTGACGTCTCATGTCTGCCTAAAATGTCTAAAATGAAGCTGCCCCCGGACCACCTTGGACACACATCCTCAGGACCTCCTGAGGCTATGTTGCAGGTGCACGTTTTTCCCGGTGGGAAATAAACCTCCTGAAACGATGGAGACTCATCATTTTTCTCGATCGACACCCCCCACAGTGGAACGTGAGTGTGATGAACGGAAGTCTACTCCCCTGCTTGTCCCACAGAGCGTATCCTACCTGGGACACCATGAAGCCGTTGGTGTACTCATTGAGGAGCCGATAGCCGTCGTCCCCTGAGGAACCCATGTCGTCTCCAATCCAGCCGCGGTGTCCGGAGCCTCTGGAGCGTTTGCTTCTAGGAGCACGGAGCCTGCTGGCAAGGTGGGAAAGAGGGACCTGCTCACGGCTGCTGTCTGAATCTCCCTGCTGGCTGCCCAGTACTCAAACAAAGACAGATCACTCTAGAAACTCGCATTAACCTTATTAGGGGATCACAAAGCGTGTCGGAATTCCCTGGCTTTCTGCGCGGGCCCTTCCGCAGCCCTAAAATAGTCTGCCTGAGGCCTCCCCTGAGCCTTGGAGTCATCAGCTGTAGAACTGATCCCAGACCAATACGCTCACCCCTCATTAGCACTAAACAAATCGTCTCACGGATTGAACAGGTTCCGGATTCATTTCCGGGGGTCGCACGAATTTCCGCAAACTGGGTGGCTCAAAAAACAGTTCTCTCACACTTCTGGATGCTGGAAGTTCAACATCAAGATGCCAGCAGGCCAGCCTGGGCAACATACTGAGACCCTTTTTGTTGTTGTTGTTGTTGTTGTTGTTGTTGTTGAGATGGAGTCTCGCTCTGTCACCAGGCTGGAGTGCAGTGGCACAATCTCAGCTCACTGCAACCTCTGCCTCCCAGGTTCAAGTGATTCTCCTGCCTCAGCCTCCCGAGTAGCTAAAATTACAGGCACCTGCCACCATGCCTGGTTAAATTTTTGTATTCTTACTAGAGACGGGGTTTCACCATGTGGGTCAGGCTGGTCTCGAACTCCTGACCTCGTGATCCACCTGCCTCAGCCTCCCAAAGTGCTGGGATGACAGGCGTGAGCCACTGCACCTGGCCTCCGAGTGATTTTAGAGGGAAGAATATAAACACAGCCTTGCCCGGGTGCGGTGGCTTTCCAGCAGTTTGGGGCAGATCACCTGAGGTCAGGAGTTTGAGACCAGCCTGGCTAACATGGTGAAATCCCGTCTCTACTAAAAATACAAAAATTAGCTGGGCCTGGTGGCTCAAGTCTGTCATCCCAGCCCTTTAGGAGGCTGAGGCGGGTGGATCACTTGAGGTCAGGAGTTCAAGACCAGCCTGGCCAACATGGTGAAACCCCATCTCTACTAAAAATACAAAAATTAGGCGGGCATGGTGGCTCACGCCTGTAATCCCAGCTACTTGGGAGGCTGAGGCAGGAGAATGGCTTGAACCCAGGAGGCGGAGGTTGTGGTGAGCCAAGATCGCGCCACTGCACTCCAGCCTGGGGGACAGAGTGAGAGTCTGTCTCAAAAAGAAAGGAAGAAGAAAGAAAAGAAAAGAAGGAAAGAAAAGAGAGAGAGAGAAGGGAAGGAAGGAAGGAAGGAAGGAAGGAAGGAAGGAAGGAAGGAAGGAAGGAAGGAGAGGGAGGGAGGGAAGGACGGAAGGAAGGAAGGAAGGAGAGAGAGAGAGAGAGAAAGAAAACAGAAAGAAAGAGAAAGAGAAAGAAAGAAAGAAAGAAAGAAAAAGAAAGAAAGAAAGAAAGAGGAAGGAAGGAAGGGGAAAGAAAGAAGAAAGAAAGAAACAGAAAGAAAGAAAGGAAAGAAAGAAAGGAAAGAAAGAGAGAAAGAAAGAAAGGAAGGAAGGAAAAGAAAGAAAGGGAAGGAAAGGAAGGGAAGGAAAGGAAAGGAAAAGAAAAGAAAGAAAGAAAAGAGAAAAGAAAGCAGGGAGGGAGGAAGGAAGGGAGGTAGAGAGAGAGAGAAAGAAAGAAAGGAAAGGAGGGAGGGAGGGAAGGAAAGAAGGAAGGGAGGGAGGGAGGGAGGGAGGGAAAGAGAGAGAGAAAGAGAGAAAGCCTTGAAGTTCAGAGCGACGAAGGGTCCTTGGGGGGTCCTTGGGGACTCCAGGGGACTCCAGGGGACAGCTGGAGACAGACAGGGCTGGCCCCCGATCACATTTGCTTAATGGAACCCCAAAGCCACTGTCAGGCGGCCAAATCTCTGCCTGCTGAGGGGATTTCTCAGGGATCTGAGTTAAGGCGATTACCTGAGGCATTGAGAAGGGCAGGAACACGGTGACTAGAGAATGGAGACTTACAAAGGACATGAACGGACACTTGTCTTGTTTTTGAGACGGAGTCTCACTCTGTCACCAGGCTGGAGTGCAGTGGTGCGATCTCGGCTCAGTGCAACCTCCGCCTCCCGGGTTCCCGCCATTCTCCTGCCTCAGCCTCCTGAGTAGCTGGGATGACAGGCACCTGCCACCTCGCCCGGCTAATTTTTGTATGTTCAGTAGAGTCGGGGTTTCACCATGTTGGCCAGGCTGGTCTCGATCTCTTGACCTTGTGATCCGCCCGCCTCGGCCTCCCAAAGTGCTGGGATGACAGGCGTGAGCCACCGCGCCCGGCCGACAGACACTTCTGAAAAACAAGACGCACTCGTGGCTGACAAACACATTGTATGAGTCCGTTTTCATGCTGCTGACAAAGACGTACCTCAGACTGGGTAATTTATAAAGAAAAACAAAAATGTTTAATGGTCTCACAGTTCCACACGGCCAGAGAGGCCTCACAGCCACGGCGGGGAAGCGAAGGAGAAGCGAAGGCACGTGTTACAGCCGGCGGCAGGCAAGAGGGTGTGCACCGGGGATCTCCCGTTTATAAAACCATCAGATCTCGGCCAGGTGTGGTGGATCACACGTGTCAGCCCAGCAATCTGGGAGAGGCTAAGACAGCCAGATCATGTGAGGTCAGGAGTTCCAGACCCGCCTGGCCAACACGGTGAAACCCCGTCTCTACTAAAAATACAAAAAATTAGCCGGGCCTGGTGGCGGTGCACGTCTGTCATCCCAGCTACTCGGGAGGCTGAGGCAGGAGAATGGCGTGAACCCGGGAGGTGGAGGTTGCAGTGAGCCGAGATCTCGCCACTGCACTCCAGCTTGGGTGACAGAGCGAGGCTCCATCTAAAAAAAAAATTAAAAAAAGATGAAGATGTTAGAAGGTGATTTGAGGGTGTGGAGAGCAGGGGAGGGGAGGGAGAGCTGGATTGTGGGGTGAAGGTGGTTGTGGAATTCTTTGAAATCTGAGGCAGGAGGGACCGGGTGGGTGCTCCCAGGAGAGGCCATGCGTGCCAGATGGAGCGGCAGGTACCGAGCCCGTGGGGGAGCGGCAGTGCGTGCAGGCTGTTCAAACGAAAGCCGAGAACCCCGTGTGGCCGGAGCATCTGAAAAGACAGAGGAAGGGGAGGGGGCCGGTGGATAGCAGACAGGCTGGTTTTAAAAGCCCTCAGGGACATTGCACGGACCCCCGTCCGTCACCACCTTGAGACAGGGTCTGGCAGGACGGTTTCGGGAGAGGCCTGCGTGGTCTGGACACGGTCAGAAGCTGCCATTTGGGGATGGGATGTTTGGGAGATAGAGTTGGCCAGAAACCCCAGGAGCTTGTGTACAACTCGGGCGAGTGGGACGGCCTGGAGGCCTGGCTGGAGTAGGGGCAGGGGTGGCCTGGGGTCTTAGCTGGAGTACAGTCAGGGGTGGCCTGGGGTCTTAGCTGGAATAGGGGCAGGGGTGGCCTGCGGTCTTAGCTGGAGTAGGGTCAGGGGTGGCCTGGGGTGTTAGCTGAAGTAGGGTCAGGGGTGGCCTGGGGTGTTAGCTGAAGTAGGGTCAGGGGTGGCCTGGGGTCTTAGCTGGAATAGGGGCAGGGGTGGCCTGGGGTGTTAGCTGGAGTAGGGACAGGGGTGGCCTGGGGTCTTAGCTGGAGTAGGGGCAGGGGTGACCTGGGGTCTTAGCTGGAATAGGGGCAGGGGTGACCTGGGGTCTTAGCTGGAATAGGGGCAGGGGTGGCCTGGGGTCTTAGCTGGAATAGGGGCAGGGGTGACCTGGGGTCTTAGCTGGAATAGGGCCAGGGGTGACCTGGGGTCTTAGCTGGAGTAGGGTCAGGGGTGGCCTGGGGTCTTAGCTGGAATAGGGGCAGGGGTGGCCTGGGGTGTTAGCTGGAGTAGGGACAGGGGTGGCCTGGGGTCTTAGCTGGAATAGGGGCAGGGGTGGCCTGGGGTCTTAGCTGGGGTAGGGGCAGGGGTGGCCTGGGGTCTTAGCTGGAGTAGGGGCAGGGGTGGCCTGGGGTCTTAGCTGGAGTATGGTCGGCGGTAGCCTGGAGGCCTGGCTGGAATAGGGGCAGGGGTGGCCTGAGATCTTAGCTGGAGTAGGGGCAGGGGTGGCCTGGAGGCTTGGCTGGAGCAGGGACAGGGCGGCCTGGAGGCCTGGCTGAAGTAGGGGTGAGGAGAGAAGCCATTTCTCTTACCGTCTCCTGTCTCTGAAGAAAAGGAGGAAATAAAAGTTGAAAACCAACAGGAATGAAGTCAGCAGCAAGACCAGCCGGGCGCCACTGATGACCAGGCCTGAGGTTAAAACATTAACCCCCGCTGACTCTAACCCCATGTGCTCTCCATCTAGCAGGACCCTTTCACGTGGAACCCCTTAGCGTTGTAAGCCCTTCAAAGGGCCGGGAACTCTGTCTTCCGGGAGCTCGGCTCTTAAGACGCGAGTCTGCCGACGCTCCCGGCCGAATAAAGCCGAGACCTTTCTTAACCTGGTGTCTGAGGGGTTTTTGTCCATGGCTAGTCCTGCTACAGGGGCAGGAGTGGCCTGGAGGGTTGGCTGGAGCGGGGACAGGGGCGGCCTGGAGGGTTGGCTGGAGCGGGGACAGGGGCGGCCTGGAGGCTTGGCTGGAGCAGGGACAGGGGGAGCCTGGAGGGTTGGCTGCAGTAGGGACAGGGGCGGCCTGGAGGGTCGGCTGGAGCAGGGGACACGGGCGGCCTGGAGGCTTGGCTGGAGCAGGGGACACGGGCGGCCTGGAGGGTCGGCTGGAGCAGGGGACAGGGGCGGCCTGGAGGGTCAGGGGCGGCCTGGAGGGTCGGCTGGAGCAGGGACAGGGGCAGCCTGGAGGGTTGGCTGGAGCAGGGACAGGGGCGGCCTGGAGGCTTGGCTGGAGCGGGGACAGGGGCGGCCTGGAGGGTCGGCTGCAGCATGGGCAGGGGCGGCCTGGAGGCTTGGCTGGAGCGGGGACAGGGGCGGCCTGGAGGGTTGGCTGGAGCGGGGACAGGGGCGGCCTGGA